GAAGGGGTGGGAGGAGGAGGAGGAGGACAAGGAGGAGGAGGTAGGCTGGGTCAGAAAAGGAATTTCAACTAGACCTAGCAAGGAAGTCAGAACAAGGAAAGAGATCATCTAGACTTTGAGATCAGGCTGGTCAGAATTTGGGTCAGAATTTGAATCCTAGCTCTGGCTTTTACCACCATGAGCGCTGGCAAGTCACCCGATCTCCAAGTCTGTTTCCTTGTCTGCAAAGCGATAGTAGTAACTATATTGTTGGAGTTGTATTGTAATTAAGTTTAATAGTATGGCTAAAATCTCAGGTCAGTGCCCGGCACATCCTTCCACCCCGGCTCCCCACGGTCCCTGACTCTGGTCTCTCTCAGGACACATCAGATTACCTCCGGCCGGTGGTCCTGACTGCGACCTTTGCCCTGGACAACACGACAAAATCAGGGCCTGTGCTGGATGAAGGTTCACCCACCTCTGTACAAAAGCTGGTTAGCAGTAGCAAGCCCTGCTCTATCCCTGAGTCCCAAGTCTGTCTGCCCAGTGGATTCCAGAGAAGTGGGAAGGGAAGCCGTGAGATCACAGTGAAATCTGACCTATGACCTCTGATCATAGTAGATCTACTCTCCTCTTCTCACTTTTGCCCAATTCCAGTGATTTCTCCTTGCCTTCCTCCCAGCCTTCAGGCCCTTCTCCCTCTTCCAGGTCCCCTTCTCAAAAGATTGTGGCCCTGACAATGAATGTGTCACAGACTTGGTGCTTCGAGCCAATATGGACATCAGAGGCTCCAGGTTGGAAGGATGGGAGCCAGGCAAACCAGGATACAGATCAGAAGGGACTTGGACTTGCCAGCGGGGAGGGGCTCTTACCCAGGGTGACAGAAGTGAGACTTTTGATATTCCGGCAACTCTGGTCTCTTACTCACCATTCCCAGGAAGGCCCCATTCGTGGTTCAAGGTGGCCGGAGAAAAGTGCTGGCATCAGCAACTCTGGAGAACAGGAAGGAAAACGCCTACAACACTAGCCTGAGTCTCACCTTCTCTAAAAATCTCCACCTGGCCAGTCTCATTCCTCAGGTGCCCGTGGAGGAGGGGGTTTGGGAGGAGGGGAGAAAGAAGGAGGAAGATCAGGGTATTGACCCGGGCTGCGAGGTACTCTGAGCAAGGCACGGTGTTTAGAGGCTGTGGGTAGGGCAGCAGTTGCAGCCGCAGCTCTAGCCTCCACCCCCATCCCTCTGCCCTCAGAGGGACATCCCAGTAAAGGTGGAATGTGCAGCCCCCACCCCTCATGCCCGGCTCTGCAGTGTGGGGTACCCTGCCTTCCAGACGGGTGCCAAGGTGAGCAGGGTCCGAGTGAGGAATGGACTCTGGGAGAGCCGGGGCTGGGATCTGTGGGGTCCAGGGGTACAGGGAAGGAGGCGCGCAAAGGCTCCTGTGCCTCTGTAGTTGTTCCACAAGGAAGAATCTACCATTCCCACGTGTCCCCTGCCCCCAGGTGACCTTTCTGCTAGAGTTTGAGTTTAGCTGCGCCTCCCTCCTGAGCCAAGTCTTCATGAGGCTGACTGCCAGTAGGTGAGAATAAAAGGAACTTCCTCCAGCCTCCTCTTGCTGGGTCTTGACTGGGGGATCAGGGGCAGGGATGGAAGGGACTCCTCTATCAGCAGAAAAGGGTATCCGAGGAGGAAATACAATGTGACCCTTTCCCCCTGACTCTACAGCAGTAGCCTGGAGAGGAATAGGACCCTGCAGGATAATACAGCCCAGACTTCCGCCTATGTCCAGTATGAGCCTCACCTCGTGTTCTCTAGGTACGGCTCAGCTCCTGGCTAGGACCGCATGCAGACTCCAGACTCGTCCTCTTTGCTTTTTCCTCTCTTTCCATGTGCTTCAGTGTTCTCAGAAACACAAAAGCTGAGGCTGCTCGATCTTCCTGTCCTTACTCCCGTTCATGATGAACCTTCTCTTTTTTTAGCATCTGACTTTCCTAGGTAGGGCTTTACCAGGCGCTGGGCATTGGAGCTGGGATGTGGCCGTAGGATGCCATTAAGCCTATGTTGTGTTCCATTTCTTTTGTCTCCATGTACCCTTCTCTCTCATCCATACGCTGGTCCTACTTTCCCTGATCCATGTGCGCTATATGCTGATCATGTGTTCGGGTGTCTGTCCTGGATGTGACCTTGTACCGCCTGACTTGTTGTCCACGCAGTGAGTCCACCCTGCACCGCTACGAAGTTCACCCTTATAGGATCCTCTCACTGGGTCCTGGCCCTGAATTCAAAACCACTCTTAGGGTGAGAAGCTGGAGGGGGTCTTGGCACAACAGAGAGGGTGGGGTTGGGGACGAGCAATAGCTGAGTGGGAAAAGGATGGGAAGAGCCTCTCTTGGATTTCAGTGATATCTGCTGTGAGGGAGACCGATGAGGAAGGGTCCCGTCTCCCACCTCTTCTCATCTGCCATCCCTTCAGGTTCAGAACCTCGGCTGCTACGGGGTCAGCGGCCTCATCGTCTCAGCCCTCCTTCCAGCTGTAGCTCACGGAGGCAATTACTTTCTGTCACTGTCTGAAGTCATCACCGACAGCGACAGCGTGAGTCTGGGTGGGAGCACACGGAACCCTGCCATGTGGGGAAGCTCTCTGCTGCTCTCCCAGCTCTTCTTCTTGGAAGACCTTTCTTCTTTGGGATGAAAGAAAGGGACTATAAATAGGACCATTAGGGTGTGGGTAGCACATACCCACCGAACTTGGAGGGGCTGGCGTTCCCCCACCAGGAGGGCCTTTCTTGTTGAATGTCGTGCCTCTAGGCAAGCTGTACAATGCAGAACCTGACTGAGCCCCCAGGGCCCCCAGTGCATCCAGAGGAGCTGCAGCACACAAACAGACTGGTGAGAATCCCAGGAGTGTGCCGGGGGGATGCAGGTGGGTTCGGTGCTTCTGGTGGTGTGGAGGTGAAAGACGGGATTTTCCCACTCTGGGGTCCTCATCTGTCTCTCTGCTCTGACAGAATGGGACCAATACTCGCTGTCAGGTCCTGAGGTGCCGCCTTGGGCAGCTGGCAAAGGGCGCCGAGGTCTCCATTGGGCTACTGAGGCTGGTTCACAATGAGTTTTTCCGAAGGGTAAATGTTTCCTTTTATGCTGTTCTCTTTCTGCTCTTGGAATACACATGTTTTAGGGCGAGGGATTTAGCTCAGTGGTTCCACCGCCTGCCTCACAAGTGCAAGGACCCAAGTTCGATCCCTGGTACCAAAAAAAAAAAAAAAAAAAAAAAA